CGTACTCCAAAAACCCCTACATCACCGCAATAGGTATTTCTCTACCCTTTTCTCTAAAACCTCCACTGATAAGAATCCTGCAACCACCCTTGCTAACCTATATGTATAGTTAGAACGTTTTCTCAATATCGAACTTAAATGCCCCTTGCTGCAGATGAAGCCAATTACTTCTGATTCTACCTTCAATGGACATGGAGAAGAATAGAGAACTATATAATAACATCCTGGATGGCTATCATCAGATCTCCTCCTCGGTCTTCTTTTCTCAAGACTAAACTCATCTATGTTTTTTTAACCTTTCTTCATAGACCAGATTTTCTACACCTTTTGCCGCTTTTATTGTTCTCCACTGGACTTTCCAATTTGTTCCCATTTTTCTTAAAACATTACTCCCATAACTAGATATAGGGCTCAGCTGAGGCTGCACAAGTACTGTGTAGAGAGGAACAAACACCTTCCATGCCTTACATATGATACTCCTGATAATTCACCCAGAATATTGTATGCTTCCTCTCTATATACATTGGCTCATAGTCTATTATTTTTCTGTCAGACACCAGAGAAGAGGTGAACATCTCAGGGTAAGGTCTAAGAGAACACAAGCACAAATCTGGCTTTATAATCTGTTTTTTGCTGAACAAATAGTTTAGCACTACAGGTGTGTGAAAGTATAAATAATATTTGCAATAAGCTATAAGGGTATGTCTACACTAGCCACCCTAGTTCGAAGTAGGGTGGCTAATGTAGTCATTCGAACTTGCAAATGAAGCCCGGGATTAAAATTATCCCAGGCTTTATTTGCATGTTCCTGGGCGCCTCCATTTTTAAATGCCCGGTAGTTCAGACTCTCTGCCCGTGGCAACACGCAGCACGGTCTAGGTAGTTCAAACTAAAGCCCCTAATTCAGACTACCGTTACTCCTCCTGTAATGAGCCCCCACACAAGGGTAGCCAGAGTCTACCGGTTTCCGTCATCATAGGTTTTTTTCCTACCAATATTACTAAAGTGAGATAAACGAAAAGTCAGGGCCCGTGAAGTGAGGTGCATGCTGGTTGCTCACAACATTAACCGTGAGAGCCGTGCGCTCCCCCTGCATCCAATCACAGCGATGCTACTGTTCATAGAATCATAGGACTGGAAGGGACCTCGAGAGGTCATTGAGTCCAGCCCCCTTCCCTCAAGGCAGGACCAAGCTCTGTCTACACCATCCCTGACAGATGTCTGTCTAACCTGTTCTTAAATATCTCCAGAGAGGGAGATTCCACCACCTCCCTTGGCAATTTATTCCAATATTTGACCACTCTGACAGTTAGGAATTTTTTCCTAATGTCCAATCTAAACCTCCCCTGCTGCACTTTAAGCCCATTACTCCTTGTCCTGTCCTCAGAAACCAAGAGGAACAAATTTTCGCCTTCCTCCTTGTGACACCCTTTTAGATATTTGAAAACCGCTATCATGTCCCCCCTTAATCTTCTTTTTTCCAAACTACCCTAAGAGAGTTGGAGAATTCTATTCCATATTTAAAATTAAATTAAAGAACACAAACACTTTGGTCTTAGCAATTGGGAACAATTTTCACAGAGTGAATGAGAATATGGATAGGTGAGGAAGTGTTTGTTAACAAACAAAGAGATATGAATTAGAGAACATAAAACCACCTTATTTCATTTTCTGTTGCCTAGATTAAAAGTTAATAATGACCTATTGTACAAGTCCATTAATTGGTTGAATGTTTGAAAGCATGAAATTTAATGCCGCTGGCTACGTCTACACTGGCAGCTTCTTGTGGAAGAACAGCCGTTCTTCCACAAAAACTTGCTGGCTGTCTACACTGCATGAGCATTCTTTCAGAAGTAAATTTACAGTATAGCATTGTAAAACAGGGCTTCTTCCGGAAGAGTTATTCCTCTCCCCACGAGGAATAAGCCCTCTTGCACAAGAGCTCTTCCAGAAGAGAGCAGTGTAGACAGGCAACATGCATTTCTTGCGCAAGAAGCCCCTATTGTTAAAATGGCCATCAGAGCTTTCTTGTGGAAGAGAATGTCTACACTGCCATGGATGCTCTTACGCAAAAGCACATGGCAGTGTAGACGCTCTCTTGTGGAAGAGTTTTTGCTCAAGAACTCTTCCGCAAAAGAGTTCTTCCGCAAGAAGCTGCCAGCGTAGACGTAGCTTTTGTGATTAACTATGCCCCTTTACTTTCTCCTAGTAGAGATTTAACTGTTCGCTTTTGAGGCCTGATCCAAAGCTCTTAAAATTCAGTAGAAAAATTGAGATATTTCATTATGCTTTGTATCAAACACTTAATCCCTTTTTCTGCAGCGCATTCCCTTTCCCCACCACAGACTGATCTTCCATCTAAATACGCACTTTACACATGTACATTATTTTACTTTGAATATTTATAAGTAAACACGATTTTTATTTGGTTCACATAATTTCAGATGAACTATTTCTGGAAGAGAAGTTTGGTGCACTCCAGGAGAGGAAGAAATACTCAGTTACACAGTGCTATCCGTGTGTAAAATAATTTTTACTGAGAACATTACAAAGGCTAAACGCAGCAGAGCCAATAAGAAATAGGGTTACTGCTAAGTTTGTACTGTAGGAATGATGTTACTACATTGAATACATTGTGACATTGAAATTCTTTCATTACTGCATTCAATAAATAAGCTGTAATTCCTACGTTTCTTCCTGAATTTATACAGAAAGTTAATTAATGTTATATTTGTAAAATGAATAATTACTGCACATATGTTTCTGATACGATCTCAAAATGCTATATGGTGACATAAATATTCTTATGGCCCGACACCATACATTTACAGTGTAGAGCATTCAGTTAAATAGTAGCTGCAATGGAATTGGTTATACCTAACATAAAGCACAGCGTAATGAACTAGAAAACAGTATTGTGTTCACTGTGGTTAAGTCAATGCATAGTGGACATTTATAGCAGAAGTAATGTCTAATGTTCAAACGTATCTTCAAACAAAACAATAAATGATTTTAACAAGATAGCAAATTATATAGATTGAATCTCCCAAATGTATTACCTTCTGATATATATTAATACATTATTTGCAGCCCCATTCTAAGATCTGCCAAAGAACATAACACAGTGTACGAGATGATGAAGCTCATTCCTGACATCAGAGTTCAGCTTTCTGATGAAGAGCTGAAGGAACTCAGCATTTGTACCATCATGGAACACTGGGTAAAAGGAAGCACAGGTAAGTGATATATCTGTCACAATAATTTTCTTATCTGGTTATAACATAAGGTTTGAACCTCTCTACACTGGCATCCTCCGGGCCGTCTGGTGCTGGACCTCAGGACATCAATACTGTCTAGCTGCGTTACCAATACTTCCACTGCTAATTGGGATTTTAAAAGACATTTAGGGGTAAAAACTAAATAATAGCACAGAGCACTGAGATCCAGGATTGGTGACTATAAGCAAACTTTATGGGACCGCAGGAAACTTGGCCACACTGAGGATAAGTGGACATCCGGCTAACCAAAGTCATGCCAGACCTTGGATGTTGCCAGACCAAAGAGTCCTGGATTGGAGAAGTTCAATCTGTACACATAAATTGCTTTTCTAGGTGATGAAACATATCTTATATATCTTTGAATATATCGCCGTCTGTTAGGGATATGCTTCTGGGATGAGACACATTCTTGTTATTCAAAAAGACTGTAAAGGTGCTGTCAAGGGTAAATTAGTTGTGCTTTGAGAGGAAAAATATATCTACATATTAAAATTCTGGAAAAAAGGTTATTTTTTTCATTTTTAGTGTGAAATGTAGGCACAATATTTAAGTCCCCGTCATACTAGATAAGGCTAAGAAACCTACAAGAGAGTTTGTGTCTTCAGCAAAAAATCTGTATCTAACAGAACCTTCAGTTTCTGAATAGTACTCAGTGACTATGAATCAAAAGATTTTAAATAGTGACTAATGATGCTAGGTGCCTTAACTATTCTAATTTTGCTTTATATTAAATCACGGATTTTATTCCTATAACTATATTGTAGTGAGGAATGTCATTCTGTTTAATGATTCTTTCCAATCCTTGGGAAGCAAAAATCCTGAAAGACCTATTGTAATTTGTTTGATGGGAGTTACTAATATAAAATCCCCACAGATTAGATGTTTTTAAAAGTTCATAAAATTTTTCTTTTCAAAAACTTCTAGTAGCTTCTTCCAAATTGGACAAACCCTGTGTTATAATCATGTCATCAGGGAATGGTGTTTTCTATTGTACATCATCAGAATACCATCGCTTTGATGTATAACATTAAGTGCCATTGCTTTTTTGATGGATAACACCAAGCGCCATTGCTCTGGTGATGGATAATACAAAGCACCGTTGCTCATATGATGTATTCTAGTAAGGAGATAGTGCTGCTGTAAAATTCATTATGAAAGCAAGTTGCTCTGAATTATCTATCGTCAGAGCAATGGTTGATGCTTCATGTTATATAGCCTCATTGTGGAATTAGTCTGATAATACCTGAGATAAAATTTATTCTCTTGATTTGTACTCATTCCAGAAAACAAGAATGGAAGGAAAAGGCTTAATTTAAAAAAAATGGAGGGGGAATGGAGTTGTAAAAATTAGAAGTAATTGCCTAATAATCATTTTGTTTTTAACTGTCTTAAAATGAAGTAGCAATATTTATAACCCATCTGCCTTAAACTTGGTTAACTCCTTTGGCATGTGCATTCCTTGTACTGCCACAGCATTAAAAAAAAAGATGTGAACATTAAAAATCCATATCCCCTTGTAATAGTTTCTGGTATATTGGTGGTTAACAATGGGATTGTATCAATGCAAGTCTAACAGTGAACCTTAGTTTGATCCAACACATCCATTTATTCTTGAGCATTGCATTCCAATCATCCTTTAAATGTTTGAAATAATTCATCTAAAGTGAAAATGGAAATCAAAGCATGGAACTCAGAACAGAGCAGCACACATTACAGCATAGCTGTGTAATTAACAGGCAGACTGAACTGAAATGTGAACAGGCAGGAACTACATTTACATAATGATGTAGAGATAATGAATAGGACAAATTTAAAGTCAAAGCTAGTAATTCAAATGATAGTCATGAAAATTGGCATCTCAATTCACTATACAAATGTGCAAGAATTGAGGACTTCTCTGTGAATTACTGTACATATCTTGGTCACCAGGACATTCATGTTACTTTATATTGAGTGCCCTGTTGATTTTTCAGCAGTTAATTCAAAATCAGAATGTGTTGTAAAATAGTGGCTAAGATTGTTGATCACCAAACTGTGTTGGAGATAAAAGCTAATCTTAATGATTCAGCCTGCCACATACTGCCTTAAAGACAAATCTGCTTTGCATCACTATGCAATCTTTTCCAGTTCTTTGAACATGACTAAGCAACATTTTCAATCTAATTGGATGCTATGACCCAAAAATAAACACTAAATTGATTTTATACTAAGTAAAACAGAATCGATAACATTAATACATGTCAGACATATTTTTTAATCTCAGAATATTATCCTTCAGAGAACAGTTCAGGAAACCATTTTTTTTTCTTTTCTCACACTAAAAAATTCTATTGCAAGAGTTTCTACACTAATTTTCTCTCCAGGTATCTTTTTGGAAGTACTAAAGGTGCAACATTTTCTGATTTCTGTCAAAGTATTTTGACATATATCAAGGCACTGGTACTACATACATTAAATCAATGACATATCATTAAATCAATGACATAAGGGTACTGGATAAAGCCCAAAAGACTTGTTAATTTATTGTTAACAAATGTGTTAACTTTGTAAGGGGTTCACAACTACTGTGTTTTAACTGACTATTTTATTATTCATTTTGTAATATTTCATCTGCTGTTCTGCATTAATTATACTGATAAAATATAGCAGTTGTGAGGTTAGATGCCACTTACTCAGCAGAATAGAAAAATTATATAATGACATTTCCCGCAAAAGATTACATTTCATTTCAACATTTGGTAATTCTAAGAAATTCCATGTTTTAAGGAATAAAGATATATTATTTTTTAAATTTGGGTTTGTGCTTTGCACTTATACTAAGGGAGATCTCTAGATGACTCTTGCCTCAAAAGTTTTGCAGTTGTTATCCTGTGATTAGAGTTTCCCTTGATTTCAGTGGGAATACTTGTGGAGTTAGGCTCTGATCCTGGATAGACTCATGAGTACACATAACTCTTAACGTGAGTAGTCCCACTGATTTCAACATCAAGGTGGCAGAATCTGGCCTTATATTTGCTGATACAAAAATTAAGAGGTGTGGGAGGCACTAATGAAGAGAAAAACTCATACAAAAGGCCTTTGGGAATGTAGAAATTTATAACAAAATGAGGTTTGGAACTAGAAATATAGCATATTATTACCTCTATTAAAATACTCCAAAACAAAGGTATTCAGTTGGGAAAAGTGCTAATGCTAAAAGAGGCTTATTATGTGTTGGTGGTCAATTAATTGCACAGTAGATTACAATAGTGTATGGTTATACAACTTTGGACTTAATGTTTCAGGACAGAGTGTTTCCTTTTACACATTACCTAGACTATTGCATTGAAATACGGGCATTTTAGTGCCCCAGGAATGCTCACAAACTAGGGAGAACTTGGAGAAAATAACAGAAATGTTGAAGAGTTTTGGATTGATTTAGGAGGAAAGATTAAATGAACTGAATCATCTACAAATATTTTAAGAATTTCTACACCTAAGAGGGTGAAAAATTGTGATGCACGGGGGTTGAATTAGTGTACTGGATGGAACTGAACAAAGGGTATTTAGGAATGAGTGCAAGACACATTTCTTGACAATGAGTACTGGTGGGACTAATCTGCATTACAGATACAACTATGGTGACGTACCCAACAGGCAAGGTCAACTTAATTGGTTACAAGTAACAGGATGTTATCTTTTCACACAGCAGCCTTTCTGCCATCAGTCATGTTTTCTCTCTACATTTAGCAAATTGCTTAATGGTATTTTCGACATGCTGCTTAGCTACTCCATAGAATATTGGCAGTGATGAAGGACCATGGGAATTTTTAAAGAGCCCTCTTTTATACTTTAGATTTTGGGAATTCTTGTTGGAAAACCAGTCTGTCTCAGGAATCAAAGTGACCACTTTCACTTAGAGAGGTCTTCCTATTTTTTTTAGGATACTGTATCTTTTAGCCTCTGGAGGTTGGTGCTTGACTTGGCACAGGATAAGCAAAACAACAGCTTTCTGAGATGTAATCAGAAAAGAAACAGAGGCAATTTTTTGGTCATTTACATTGCTATATAGCATTGTGTGGAGGAAAGACTATGGGGTAAGAAAAGCCTTTTCCGCTGGGAACTTTGTTGTTCCCTGAACTGGCAACAGTTCAGTGGCACAGACATCTGTGGATGACTTAGTCCCCTCTTTACTTTCTTGGATGACAAAACTACTCATAAGAAAGCTGCTCCACTGGTGGAATAAGAGCAAGAAAAGTTCATGATGCAAAAAAATTAAAGAATTCCAGCCTGTACAAGAAGAGACAAGTAGGAAAATAATTTTACTTTTTCAACTTGTGATTAATAGGGACCTACTCTTCGCTGCATTAGCTGATAAAGCTGTATACAGACTATGGTGCTGGCAAGCAACTTTATCTTCTGCTTCAGTTGTCCCAGAATGATAATGTTGTATGCTTTTAGGAATATGGAAGGAGAAATGGAGAAGCAAAATGGCACAACCTGTTAAAAACATGCCTGTTAAACCGTAAAGCATTGCAACTTTCCGTGTACTCCATAACATCTATGAGCATCTGCGTTCAATCCCTCAAATTGGCAAATAGGCATTTTAAATAGGTATTTAGACATCTGGCTGCTGATATAACCCCCAAATATGACATCTGGGTGCCTATCTTAGCTTTATGGTTTGACCCAAATGGAGTCCTTTAACTTACTTTGGACTAAATTCAGATTGTTTAGTTGTTTAAAATCTGCTTTGTACATGCACTTTAAAAAGTTGGATATGTGCATTTCTTAAATGTACAAACTATAATAACTTACATGTAAAATACTTTTTATTTAATTTATTGTATTTAATGTGTTAACTGTTCCAAATATTTGATACTCCATTAAAGAAAACTGCTTGTCAGTACAATGAAATGCTTAAGTTTATAATCTCAATAAAAATAAGCATTGAAATATAATCAGGATTAAAATAATATATCTGTGGAATGATTCCCAGTATTATTATGCAGTGCTGCTGCTGCTGTATGCTACCTGGCTTAAATAAGAATGTCAGTCCTTCAATAAGAAGTAGCCCTATGGCTGGACTGCTCTGACTACCTGTCAAAAACAGATGGACCAGTTATTCTTAGATAGCTGTAAAATACCAGTGGCACACAACTATGTTGTATGTGTGTGTTTCTTGAACTTTTCCTCATAGACCCCTCTGTGTTGTTCATTTGGTGTTGTTTGATTTTTTTTATTGTTTTCTTTGTTTTATAAATGAGAAAATATTTCTTTTGTAAACCATGCCCTGACGTTATGGATGTTGCACTTCCTCAGACCTGCTGAGGAACAAACCCAGACAAAGGATGGGCTGGAGTAGTATCGCTTTTGGGGTTGTTTATTACTCTCTCTCTCTCTCTCTAATAATGATTTCAATAAGTAATGCTGAGTCAGATTTGCAGTAGGGATTGATTAATAGCTTTGGACTCGTTCAGCAGTTTGCCACATACACACTGTAATCTAATTTGAAATAAAATTGGCACTTAAAAAAAACCATGGTAGAACCATTCAGTTTATACACAGTCATCTTTGTGCCTTTACTTTCCCTGGGCCAGTCCCAGGTTTCTGCTGTGATGTTACATTTTGTCCAAGAGAAAGAGTGATTTTCTGGCTGCTTCTCAATTAATTTATCTGCTTGCAGGGTCTTTTGTCTGTCTTAAAAAGTCACAGATCCTAAACTGCCTATGATTATTTGTCAATCACACCTTGCACACATTCCATAGGTTACATACATATTCATAAGCAACATGGTTTCTAGGCAAAGCTGGGCCTCATGATGGCCTTGAGTGCCAGAAACCTACCATAAATTGGATTACTTGGCATACTAAAAGGACCTAATGTAAATAATATAAGTTAACATACCAAAGCATGATACAGAGCTTAACATAGATTGTAACTAAGAGAGGTAGGGTAAAGGGAAAATGGGAAAGCAGAGGAGTATGTCGAGTCAGCTAGACGCCAATGGAGGAGAGCGGGGGTCATGTCTGACTGCTTACAATGAATATTCATATTATGGATATTTTGCTAATTTTGAATTATTTTTCTTTGTATGTTTTAATAAAAGATGTCAAGGATCTTCATTATTATTGCACACAATATAAGATCAAATTACAATGAAGAAAGCCCAGTATATGTGGTAAACTGTCTATAATATAATTGAGAAATGAAATACTTGTTTTGTTTTTAATTACAGTTGTTGGAAATCAAGGTTTCTATGCCATATTAAAAGGCTCTGCTAGACCTCAAGCAAAGTTTTACAAAAGAATGCTTGGAGAAGACTTTCATTCATTATGTGAAGCATTATCAGCTACTAGTCAAGCTACTATGATTGGTATTTCAGGACGAACATTGGTAAGCTGTGATAGAGAAAGTAATGATCTGTAACATGCTAAGCATTTTATATACATAAATATTATGTAACACTAATTATGTATGTATATATACATGTACAAAGAGACTTCAACATGATCTTACATACTTAAACATCGCATATCTAAACCCTCATTTACCTGGATTTATCTCAATATAGTTCATGTCCCTTTTTTGTTTCAAATAAAAGTGTTTTCAGATCTGGATCTGTAAAGACAGATGCCAGTTTTTCCAAAGCAGTCTAATCCAGCAGAACACAATAAGTCATGGGCCCTTTGACTAGTGTATTCTGCTGATCCTATGTGACCTAGGGATGCTGGCTGGATAACAATTATTCACTGAAATCCTTAGTCTCTTGTAAGTTTTAGTGCATCAAATTATCCACAAAGAAAGATGTGTGCACTGAACCTCATAAACATTTAAAGGTTTCAATACAGAAATTTGTTTCCTGTGTATAAAAAATACCTAAATGCAACAAAAAACCCTTTCTCTCCAAAAATAAAATAAAATAAAACACACACACACTTGCAATTAAACCCATAATCTTTCTGTTTTCTTCTTAGCTGGATGTCTTTGAGGAAACTAGACAGTAATTGTTGGCTTCTGAAGCACAGATTTCAAAATCTGTGGAGTACTAAACACCTGGTTGTCCAAATATTGAGTACCCAAAAGGATTAGCTGTCCCCTTAAATCATTGGGTAAACAAGAATGTATTGTACATAGGACATGTACATGCACTAGGAAAGTATACATACATACTTTCAGACTTAATTCAGAAGTTACTGAAGGTACCAGCATTATCCAGTATTTTGAAAGATATTTCTCCATATAATGCCAGCCTTATTTAGTACATGGAATTATTTATTATGGAATATACCAGGCAACCTATTCTTGCTCACCTTTTAGTTCACCGGTTTACCAATTACCAGTTTAGTTTGAGTAAACTTTAAGGCTACGTCTACACTGCGGGCACTGCCTATTCAAATGAAGTATGGATTAGAATATTGCCATGCTTCATTTGCATAATTTATTTCTCATTTTTGTGCAACGGTTTTTTGTGCAAAAACAAGCAGTGTGGACCTTTTTTTGTGCAAAACCCCCGTTTTGTGCAAGATCCTTATGCCTAAGGATAAGGCATAAGGATCTTGTGCAAAATAGGGGTTTTGTGCAAAATACCCCCATCCACACTGCTTGTTTTTGTGCAAAAACCCCTTGTGCAAAAACAGCTTGAATAAATTATGCAAATGAAGCATGGCAATAGGCTAATCTGCACTTCATTTGCATAGGCACTGCCGGCAAAGCCGGCAGTGTAGACGTAGCCTCAGAGTGTGTGTGTGTGTGTGTGTGTAGGCAAGATTTGGGTTTCTAATGGTGCTTTATGACTAGGGTTGGGGTAGGGAAGAGATGCTGCAGAAGGGGATAAGAGGCCTTCAGGTTGATGCTGACTCATTCCATGGGAAGTGGACAGGTGGAAGAGTTTAAAAGGGGCAGCTCTGTGGGGGAAGCCTCATTTTACACGGAGCAAGCTGAGGGATCACTAAAATTCCCTCTCAGGAAGGACTTTGTTCATGTACAGCATGAAGGGCAGTAGGCTGCAGGTCACAAGTCATTATGTAAGTATTTGGCAGATGTACTGTGCAGATCCTCCACAGAGAAGTTATACAGTGAGCAGATACAAAGCTTGGAAAAGGACTTAAAAAGAGGTATTTGTTAAAAGGAATGGAACAGGGTGGGGTTGGGTACTCTAATGATTGGTACAGCAAGGAGTCAAGTTAGCCAACCCACATTTTTTGTAGCCCACCTTAGTGCTCCTGGGAGGGATGGATGATAATGTGCTAGTAATGGATGGCTAGGGAGACCTGGATAAAAGCCCCCTGAATAATTATGGAATGAAAATGGGGTTACCTGCACTGTCAGGCAGTTCCAGACATCTAATAAAAAAGCTGTAGCCTAATTCATACCACATGAAATATCTCCTGTCTTTCAACATATCATACTCTATGCATCAAGTAGTAGTCACAGCTCCATATCTCAGCTTCAAATGGCTCTGTGCTCTCTCAATGTAGTCATGTCATTAGGAGATAAGGGCTTCATTTTTAGAAGTATTGATCACTGACACGCCCGTTAAAGTCAATGAAAGCTGAGGATGCTCAGCATGTTTGAGGCCACAGCTGTCTATACACAGTGTGTTGGCAGCTGTTCCATTTGAAGGATTGATATTGAATATTTTATGAAACAGCCCAAGTAATTAATTTTGATTAAAAGTTGTAAATTGGTCTGCCATCTATTTTGTATATCTTATGGCATAATTTTACTTTTTCATTAGCATATAATTTTGAGGTAAAGTGTTTTCCTACTTGTTTTTCCAAGTATCAAAATTGTTTACTCTTCCACATCATAACCTGAGGAGAACCTTTTCAAAAGTGCTTTAAGGACTTAGACATTTGAATCCCATTGATTTTCAAGGGGATCTTGGGGCTTTTGAAATTTTTACCCTAGATTTCTGCAAAATTTCCCTTTTTGATGAATGATCTGTTGCTCTGAGTTATATAGCTCATGCAATTACGTGTAACACTATAACCTCTCTTTTCTACTTATTTCACATAAAGGAGGTAACTGGTTTAGAGCAAATTTGTTTAATAAAATGTTCTTCCCAGGTGATCTGTTGACAAGATTGCATGCCAGTTGTTCAGTGTGCTTATAGGTCAGTTACAGCAATGAGGTATTTACATTTTCAAATCTAGTGGTTTGTCAAAGAAAAAAAGTAACTGATCTTTTAACACACCAATATTTGGTATTGCTATAATTGTACACATGGACATGGAAGGTAAACTGAGTTTTTTATACTGTAATTATACTGTTGGTGTTGAGGAAACTATGTGAAAATTATCTGCCAGGAAACTCGAATTTCCTTTCCTTCTTGTTATATAGGTTGAATAATTCTGATTGGCACTTAGAGGTTTGGGGAAGTTATTTAATTTTTCTGTGGATGGCCGTGTCACTTACAATCACTTACAAGAAGTTTCCATCAAACTTCCAGAAAGGAGGTTGTTAGGCTTACCTTTCAAGCATTTTAAGTATATTGTCTCTTGCATCTCTTGTCTCATCAAAACAATGAATGTATTCCCAATGCCTTCAGGATCTAGAGTTAATGCCTTGCAAAAAGGGGTCATTGAAAATTCCTTATGCAGTCCCACTAGAATAAAATAATTGACCTTGAGCAGAAAAGCAGGGAGACAAGATCAATTCTCCCTTATTCTGTCTGCTCTAAATTGAATCTTTCTGACAGATTGCCAGAGATATGCCAACTGTTTTCTCAGAATTATCAGAAAAAGACACCTTTAATATGCTCTTTGGGGATAGTCCTGGCCTTTCTGTCATTATAGGTCAAGTATCATGCCACTCACCCAATTCAACAATTGCACTTTTGTTAATTATTTAAATGAGAATCATTGCTTATCCTTTAGGGAATGAGTTTTATGCATGGTTCCTCAAGATTGTCACTGTTTACCAACAAGAAACTTCATCTGACTACTGGCAAGTGACTCAGAAGTTTATAGAACACCCCAATATAAATCTGAAACAAAAGTGTGATGTGGACCATTGCAAATGTGGTAGTTTCCTACTGAACATCATAGGCATGTTTGTTCTCAGTCTGTTGTGTCACAGGTCTTTCCAGTTCAGCATACTTTTACACAGTGTAATTTATGAAGAAAGAAATATTTAGCACCCTACTCATTAGTATGTTTGTTTGACTTCTGAGTAAAGGAACTGTTGCGGTCAGGAGTTTAAAACATTAGGAGAGAGACCATTTGTTCTGAAGTTCCCTTATTCATAAGCTAGAGTCCCAGATTTGTGGCCCACAAAACACATATATTTCTTAATAAAATGGCTTGATTGTCAAGTCTCTAATAAATAAAATCATTGCTTCTGGTAACTATTTTGCTGAAATAATTTTAAAGTACCAGTTTCATTGTGTAGTACAACAGAGTTTATCTAGTATTTGCCTTCCACGCTACAGATTTATGCTTTCAATATGCATCCTTTTAAAATAGGCCATCATACATTTATGACAATTATAAAGAAGCTTATCTCCTCTTGGGAGCCTTTTGATATACACTTAATTCCTGTCTGTGCTTTTCAAGGTACTAATTGAGTTTCTCATTGTCAATCAGCTTCAAAAATGTTGGAGATTGTTGTCTTGGAAGTTTGTTTTTCTTAGCAGTAATGTAAGCATTCAGCTACAGCATATTATGTATCATATTTAAACACAGCAGAGATATTCTTTCCCAACTTTGAATGCATTCCAACTAATCCTACAAAACATGGTCCTAATTTTTAACACAGATATTAAAACATTTTAATAATAATTTCATAATAATTTTCACTGCTCTAACAACTTTTTCATGTTTTAATTACATTAGTCTCACAACATTCCTATGAGATATGTATTTCCTCCATTTTACAGATTGGGAAACTGAGACACATACAGTTTCTGGCCCAAATTTATTGAATTCTGGATACCCAAACATAGAGTTTCACTACACTGAACTGCAAGGTGTGACTTCTAGCTGAAGGACATAAACCCATTCTAATTGTGATCCAGCTAACATATTAAAAATACAAGTCTAACTGTGGCACCGAGAGTTCTGATGAGGGATAGCCACCTCAGGTGCTTACTATGGCCTCAGATTGGACTGTACTGAGGGTGACTAACCCTTCAGACCCCCTGCACCAATGTGACAACACTTGAATTTTAGCACACTAGCTCAATCAGAGCTGACACAGATATGTCTCCTTCGGCTGGAATTCATACCTTGCAGCTCCAATGCAGACATACATGAAACATGTGTGGCCAGACTTTCAGGGGGAGAAACAGTTCTGATCAAACTCTTAGGTCAGGACTCCTTCCCCTGAATCCAGTGGCTGTTTCCCTTGAGAGGAGGGAATATCCTGGAGTGTTTGCCTCTTCTGTCCCTCTT